CCTGCTTCACATGCTGTAAACGCGCGCAGCGATATGTTGGCTCATCAGGGCGGGCACTTATTCACCATCACCATGTACCTAGATATCCATGCTCGACCCTGAGGAAAACAGCTTCGGCAGGCAGCCGGCTCGCAACTTCGCGACCGCACAATATCTCCCGGCCGTACGCAATAGCCCGAATTCAGGCGGCGCAGTCGGCCTATAATGACTTGCAAAACTGTCATCACCTGGGCAGTGTCGAAGAGCAGGAGCTCTCCCGTAAGCTACAAGCTCGGCTACAAAGGTGCCGAACCCTCCTACAAAGCTCTTGGTATGACACCACACAAGCCCCAAGCACCCCATTGTGACCAGACTGTCAAGAGTACAAGTTCCACATATCTGGCAGATTGTGGAGCTGATCGCATGTTCCTTTGCAAAGAATGGGCCTGACCACGCGATGTTTGCAAGCATCAGCTTTCGGGCGTGGGGAAGAGGGACGCAGGACCCATCCGAGGCACCGGCAATTGTTACCGTTGGGCTGGTCGCCATATCTGTTCCCGCTTGTCTGTGCTAGTTGTCCTTTACAGTGGACACTTTTGCATGGCGTGCTGAATTACTTACAAGAGCTAGCTGTTGTGAGTGGTGTTTTGTGCAGTTCGCGCTAAGCTTTCACCGTGCGAGAGGGTAATATGTTCCGTCCTCGGTTGACAGCCCATGCGAACGCCCTGTGAGAGAGCGCCTTTACGCGCATGTCTTCGTGCACATGCTTAAATGTGCAGTGTAGTTTACGGTAGCGTCTAATGTGCGATCAACACAGTGATCGCGATGCGACCATCCATACACATCTTGGCATTCAAACAGCCGTCGTCATAGCTACCGGCATGCCGTATTGGCTGCTGTTGGCAGGTCTGGGCACGCTGAAGCAGATGCCGACCAATAACGACTTACAGAGACGTGTTAGTTGGAGCATTATCATTGCGGGGCCCCGCAGGAGAGCAATAGCCAAATTTAAATATCTCCCGGGCTCGATGAGTTTACTGTGCCGCCTCAAATGAGCCAACTCAATGCTTTCACATTGGGATTAACAAACGGCCTGCATGCCCGGAGATTGGTTTCAACTCTGGCCAGAATCGAAGCCGTAGTAGCCGTGTCTCGCTTCAAACGGGACTTCGCAGCTCAATGGCGAAAAGATGGGAATGACTTCATCAGTCTACATAGCAACAACAGTGCCATCCACTACATGTACCACCACATCCCCATCCCCACCCCCATCTCTACTATCACTCCTCCATTTCCTCTCCACCAACTCGGGATTAATCACAATGCCCCTCTCTCCCACCCCTTCCCACTCAAACTCATACGTATCCAACTGCCCAAACAACCATATCCTCACCGTCAGCGCATCCGTAATAATCCGCGCGAGATCCTCATCTCTGTCCTGATCGCTAGACGTAGGATTCGCCCAAGGGAAGAAGGTAAGCGAGAAATGTTCGGCTGCTTCGCGTGTTTCTGACTGCGCCATCCAGGATTTGCGCCGGTTCGGGTACCCGGTTATGGTGCTGTAGAGGTAGACGGAGACGCGGCGGTGGAGAGAGGTGGCGGCTATGAAGTCGGGATCTAGGATGGGGTGTGAGCTTAATGCCTTCCGCGGATCGAGGGGTAGGGATGGAGGTTTACCTGATCCAACGTCGGCGCCATTTGCGACATGCGCCAGCTCTTCTGGGAATAATGCGCCTTCCCTGTCCCCTTTTTGCTTTGGCCCCGTTATACCCAGTACGTATGCTACGAGCGCATGCTTGAGTGCTGCAGTTGGACTAGAACATTCTTGCAAGAGTTCCGCCATATCCACACCTTTGATGCCGAACTTGGCGATTGAAGGTTCCATACTCGGAGTGATACAGGCATGTACGTCGCGGTAGAACTTCTCGATATGCTCATGCATCATGCTGAACAAGTGCGACACGCCATTCCACACTTCATCGTCATCTGCCGCAGGTGGTAGGAAAGAGGTAACATCCTTGGACAATTCGTTTGCCCCGACCGCGGGCGTTATCATCGGAGGAGATAATGCAGCAGTGGGCGTCGGTGGCATAGGTGTTTGCGATACCTGTACATATGGGCTGTGCCGCCCTCCTAGACTGCCGACACCTTTATGTTGCATCATTCCCAGATCGGGCGCGGAGTCGCCATAGCTTGGGTAATCTTTGCTACTGACGTTTGCATTCTTGTGTTTATTCCGCTGCCTGAAGAGGAAGAATGCGGCGGCGAATGCGATTGCTGCGCCAATGATGAACGTTCCGATGGCGATACCCGTTACTGCGCCAGCGCTTAATCCCTTCGTCTCGTCGCCAGCTGCTACTCCGGCCAGGGTTGCGACCGTTGCCTGACTTGGATCTTCCGTCGTTACGGATGTTAGTTGGCTGGGTGAGGCAGTCTGGCTTTGCGACGTTGATATTGATGTTCTTATGATTGAGGGCGTTTGCAATCCTAAGCTCGTGAAGGTGAGCTGGGTGCTAGGTTCGGCAAGTTGTGTGATGCTAGAGCCAAAGCCATCAAAGGTAGGTGATGGCTGTATGTCCGAAATGCCATCGGATGGAGAAATCCCCCATCCACCCGGCGTCCTTGTCAGAGCGAAACCAATTCCCTCCGTTTGTGCGGTACTTGTCCCGTCCGTCTCTGAGGTACTCGCGCCGAGTTTCTCACATCCTTGAGTCCAAGGAATACATCGCGGTAAATCGTCGTCAAATGCGGTGGTCGTGAAGCTCCGGATAAAAGGCAGCATCTTTACAGTACCCAGGTATATCAAGCTAAACCCAAGGCTGCACTTCAACCACAAATCCAACGGGCAAAAGGCGAAAAAGAGAGAAAAAGATCAGGAAACGAAACAAACCTCTCCAGCCTCAAGGGCCACCTATGAACAAAGACAACCCCATCGTATAAGCCGATCAGGCTTCCAGCTCAGCCGCAGCATCCTCCAAGGCACGCCGCACTCCGCCTCACGCACTGCAGCAACCCAAACCCCGAATCCTTCCAACTCCCAGACACACGCTTTGTTGCTTACCGTCGTACGGGCAATTAAGCCAGATGCCTTGTCATGATTGTGCAGCTTCCCACTATTGGGACGGCGTAACGTGGGGCGCAAGGGTAGGAGTAAGCAAACCAGTCCAGTAATGAGTGCGCGGATACGGTGATCCATTTGTTGCGCTAGGGCGGCGGCTGTTTTGTTGTTTGGGGGCCTGGGCTGCATGTGTGGATAAGGGCGGCTGTGCGCAGCCTTGTTCTTGTTTGCACAGCCTAGGTAAGGGTTGTCCGCGTTGTGCAGGGTAGGATGGGTTTTAGATTGCGGGTGTCTCACTTGTTGGTGGTGTTTAGGCGGCGGAGAGATGTCACGGCACGTGGTGGTTAAATGGGGAAAGAGGGAGGTTTGCACATGCCATTTCTCAAATCCAGGTTGCCGGCGGGCAAGGGCAGGGTCTATGTGTTCTAGCGTCCACCACCACCACTTCTTCAAACCTGGTTTCTGGTTTCTTTGGTGAACTTCCCTCGAGTTCGCTTGTCGGTATGGGTACTTTGGCACCTTCGGTACCTTCAAGTTCTTGTGCGGTCTCTTGGCAGGGAAGTTCTGCTGTGCTGTACGATCCTTTGTGGGCCAGCATCTCCACAATCTGATGGTGAGCCGAGACTTCAGCTGCGCTTTCATCGGAGCTATACCCCCGCGCTCTTTGTTTGCGTCGCCTGATACATACAAAGGCGATAATCAGGGCTACTAATACCGCCAAAGCCACGATGCCGGCTGCGATTCCTCCCTTTGCGCCGTTGGACAGGCTTTTTGAGTTGGTGGAAGCTGCGTCTGTGTTGGTGGAGGTATTTGACGGCGTCGAGGTTGGGGAAGTCGAGGAAGCTGTCCATGTCGATTGTTAGCGATTGTTCTGTTGCTTATGGGGATTATGGAAACATACCCGTCGCCTTCCCTAACCTCCCATTCTTCAAAAAGCACTCTCGTAACCCCAGTGTCTCACAGTCCTTATCCAAACCCTCCACCAGATCCGGCGCCAACATCGCTGCATCGATCACAAACCCGGGATAAACAGCCGTCGCCGCATCGAACGTAGCGTTCATGAGCCAACAATTCTCGAACTCTGTTGCGCCGAGAGGTCGAAAATCGAAACCGTAGCACAGCGGCTCTTTCTTGACGCAGCGGCCCATACAATCAGACCAGGTTTCCTCGAAGGTGGGATCGAGGAAGTCGACCTTGGCGCCGATGTCTTTCCCACAGAGGTTTTGGAAAGGTACGGTAAGGTTGAAGTCGTGGTAGGTGGTGGTGTTGCCTTCGCACCTGTCGCTGTCTGATTGCGCGGAGGTATTTGTAATGATTGTGAGAAGGCATGCGAGCCAAACGTATGAAGAAATTGCCGGCAGCATAATAGCAGCTCGTCTACAATCAATCATAATGTTAAAGGAAATCAAATAGTGCAAGAGAGGCCGAATCTTCCGAGAACCTTCGGCAGCTAAAATATATCTTGTCCGTCTTCGCCCACAGCCTGGTTACAAGCATCGTCCACCCAACAGATGCACTGAGTAGGCCGCAGACGATCCTTTCGACGTCAAGACTTGCAATTTGCCCAATGACACAACCAACGTGTATCTTCCCCTCCAGCCACATATCCTTGGCAAAGCACGAGGCGTTCTCAGCCTTGTGCGAACCTCAGAAGCTATGCTTCAAGACTAGTCAATTCGCAAGGGTCGGCAGTATAAATAGTATGAGTGAAAGGGAGAGAAGATGATCTTGTAGTTTACTGCGCCCTTGAACACGAATGCAGCGCAAAGAACTGGACTCAGTGAGTAGCTAGTCTTGTCAGAGTGAAAGATATCTATGCCAAGAATATGGCGGTTTATGTGCATTGCGGGGCCGCCTGCCGCGATACTCCATCGTAGAAAAGATCAGCCTCGATGTTGATCAAATTTGCAAGTGTCGACTGGCTCGCCTTTGTCAAGGAACCATCATCTCTCTGCACCTTCCCTCAATAAGAAAACGGCCTAACCCCGTACGCTCCCTTCTTCTCCGGCAGCGGACTAACAGGCTTATCCACGAATTCGGGATACAAATACCACGCCCAGTCCTTCCCCTCCATCTGCTTACTACTCCAGCCATTGCCCAACCAAGCCAGCCTGTTTGCCTTCGTGCCCACACCGTGTAACTCCGTACCATCACTGCCTCCCTCCAGCTCATCAAGATAAAGATACTCAAAGTCTTCCCACCTCGGACTCCTCATCGCCTCAACACAGTGCAGCGTACTTCCAGGCCAGAGCCCCACAACCTCACCCGTCCCCTTATTCTTATACCAACTCCTGCATTCGTCGGCGAAGACCGTGCCCTGGAAGTAAGCGTCGACGTACTCGATAAAGTCCTTTTCACGCGCTTCTTTCACGACCATGGCTGCGATGTTTTCTTTTTGGATCTTGCGGATCGCTTTGATGATGTAGTCGCCTACCGTTTCGATCATGCAGGTTAGGCTGCCGGAGCCGATGGCCGCGTTGGGACCGAGCATGGTGAAGAGGTTGGGGAAGCCGGAGACGGAGTGGGAGAGGTAGTTTACGGCGCGGTCTTCCCACTTTTTGGTGAGGGATAGGCCGTTGCTGCCGGTTAGGGGGAAGGGCGGTGGGGCTGAGGCTTTGAAGCCGGTGGCGCAGACGAGAGCGTCGATTTCGTGCGTCCTGCCGTCGGCGGTGTGGATTGCGGATGCGGAAATGCGTGTTATGGGTGATGTGATGAAATCGACGTTGGGCTGCGTTAGGGCTTCGAGATAGCCTGGACCGGGCGTCAAGCGACGGCATCCGGGCGAGAAGGAGGGTAAGAGTGCTTCGAAGATCTCAGGCTTGGTCTTTAGCCTCTCCTTCATGTGCTCATGGAACATGTCCTTTGCGCCCTTTTGTAATTCGGTACCTTTCATGGTTACAGCGTGGATACCGTTTCCGTCTTCCTCAACCGAAAGCCTGAATTTGTGGTAGTATTCTGGATCGCTTGCGAAACGGTCGCGAAGCTCTTGGGGAATCGTTGAACCATTGAAGCCGTATTTGTCCCATAGCTGTTGGCCGAAGGGAGGCGATATCCATGTCTTACTACGCACAAAGGTACTGATATGAGTACCCGGTAGACGTTGCAGCGAGGGGACGATCTGGATAGAGGAAGAGCCGGAACCGATGACACCTACTCGCTTGTTCTCGAAGTCGTAGACTTGGTTCCAGGTTGCCGAATGCATGACCTCGCCTTTGAACGTCTCAAAGCCCTCTATCTCAGGCCAAGACGGTGTGTTCAGATTGCCTCTCCCTGAAATGAGCACGTCTGCCTTGTCTTGTACCACTTCTCCTGTGGCGAGATTTTTCACCGTAATGTTCCACTTCGCAGTCTTGTCATCCCAGTGGCATGCTTGAATCTCATGGCGTAGCTTGATGAAGCGGTCCGCAGAGTATTTGTGCGCTACGTCTTGAAGGTAAGATTGAATCTCTGCAGCCGGAGCGTAGAGCGACGACCAGTTCGGGTTCGGCTGGAACGTGTACTGATACGAGTGTGCTGGGAATAATTAGACATAGTCGTAGGGGTAAGCTTGAGCTTGCTTACATGGTACGTCGCATGCGCAACCGAGATATCTGCGATCGGGTCAGTGGGTGCATTGCGAAACAATAAGGAATGTAGACTGTTGAACACATCATATGGCTCACACCGGTATCTGCTCAGAGCGGTGCTATAGCTGCAACTCGCGGTGAGACTTGCTTCGTCGGCTAAGGATCGCATACCTGTTCTCATACCAGGTCCCTCCAACACCTGCATTCTTCTCGTAGATGACAAGATCAACATTTCTCAGTCTCTCTGGTATACGAATGCCACAATAGATGCCTGAGTATCCAGCACCAATAACGACAACTTTCAGACGTCGCAAGTTTTCTACTGGCGCATCGTTGAGCTTGAAAGACGGCTTCGCTGCGACGCCATTCATGTCGCCGTTGATGTGAATACCGGGCGCATCGGTGGGGAGATTAGGTATCGCTGACATCGTCAAGGAAGAGTGAGCTGCACAGCAAGAGTAGTCGCGCGACGTGTATCCAAATTATGTGGTCTATTCAGATGCTACACTGGCCAGCGTAGGTAGTATACAATAGGACAGAGAAAGGATCCGGAAGATGTCGGCCGCAAAACGGCGACAGCGAACCGTGATAAGTACGGCCACCTACGCCCCTCATCATCGTCACGGTTGGCCTTTGATACAATTGCCGAAGCAATAGGCCCAACGTTAGTCTGTTAGCGAGACGTCAAGATGTGGACCAGGTTAAACAGCCGGGTTCAACACACGGTAAACAGCCTGACCCCAAGGCCTAGCCTATCAGAGCGCGACGGACTCCGCATCTGTCGGGGGCGCCACCCCGGACTCCACATGCGTCCCGCAACGCGCTCGTGACTTTGCATCCGCGGAATGTCCCCGCAAAGACTTGCGCATTCGGCTCGGTGTACTTTCTCCTTTTCCTATGCAATACAGCTGTGACTATGTGAGGCCCATAGACCTCTCTGCGATAAGCTGCGCGATAGTTGCCAAAGAGCTGCAGTTGAGTTTGTCTCAAGGACGATCCCTGGTACTACCGCGGAACCGTGATGATAGCAATCTGTAGTAGTGTAAGTAATTGAACATTCTGTCCTGTGCGCATACTGCATACCTGATTTCCAAGAGCAATAGACAATCTGGAACTATCTGGATCCCAACCAAGACTGTACTCTCCGTCTATGCCGGGGTTCCATTTGTCACTGGGAGTTTCACTGGCGCGCCACGAGGCTATTGGAACATCTCTCTTTTCTACATCCCAAACAGTGACGGCATCGGGGCCTGCAGCAGCTAAGAGCGACCCGTCTGGAGAGAAAGCAATCTTAAAGGCCTGCGTACCGTCCGTGGTAGGTAGGTATTTGACGCATTTTAAAGGTTCGTTTGCGTCCCAGATGCGCGTTGCACCAGCCATGGAGCTCGTTGCAAGCAGGACAGAGGGCAGTGAAGAACCGTTCGTGAGGTGGCTGGTCTTTGATTTTACACGGAAGCTGAGATCGGTGGGGTACTCATCAGGATATTCGTGCACCTGTAGTTGTATCGAGTCGTTGGGGTGGAGGATGCCAAGATAGTACTTCCTGTCTTCGATGCCCAGCACGGCGATGATCCTAGACGCGGCGTCATATTTGACTGTCTCCCATGTAACTGAAGTGTCCAAGGTTTGCTGGGTGGTCAAGGAGTCGTTGACTTGGTAGATCTTGAAAAGTTTGATACCACAAACGACAAAAGCAGAGTCGCTTATCCAGTGGGCGTCGAATATGGCCGTGTCGGTGAATTCGGTCCATGCGGGTATAGAGTCGCTATCGTTCTTCCACACCTTGATGGAGCCCTTCTCGCCGTCTGTTGATATCGAGAGCAGCAGGTTTCGTTCGGGGTTCCAGCGAAGCGTGTTGATGAGGCCGGCAGTGGAGGAGATGACCTGCGAGGCCTGGCCGCCTTCGGTCAGCTTGATGAGCTTGTCCATCATCATCTTCTCGCCGACTTCGTTGGATCGCTGTTCGCGCACAGAGACGGTGAGTTCGTTGTCGGAATGCCAGCACAGCGCGGTAACGTCGAAGTTGTCGACGGGTAAGGGTATGTCGAAATGCTGGGTGGGGGGTTCATGGCCAGGGTCTTTGCTCACAACGTGAACTTGGAGGAGGGATTTGCCGGCTGCGAGCAGTACAGGGGAGTCTATAGGCCCCCATAGCGTGTGCTCGATAAGACAGGCAGGGTCTGAGGGGGGAGGGATGGAGACGATGCCGGGAGTGAGATCAGCCACAGCGATGGCCTCGGTCTGGATCTCAGCGTCCTGGCCGATGCTGAGCGTGGATATGGGGATATCAGCAAGCGAGGGCGACTCGGCTTCCGAGACCATGGGCTCCGACTCGGCTCGCACGCTGTTGGTCACACGCGTCGTGCCGTTGTGCTCGATTTCCATGGCGTCGCCGTTGACATGGGGCTCGGGGCGCGGCTCGACGCCATTCGTGGGCTTCGTCTTCTTGCGCTTGAGCGTCTTCTTGGGCGGGGGTTCTTGGACAGCGCCGTTGGCCTCGGCGGCGAGTTCGTGTGCGGGAATGCCCTTGTCGAGGGTCAAGAGGTTGCCATTGCGCGCCGAATAGGGTCGTCCGTGGTCGCTGCCGAACTTGTAGCGCGGCTCCGTCTGCGCTCGTCAGTACCAGCTTCCCGCGCGCGTGGATGCGACGTACATTGCAAGCCTCGGCCTGCAGCTGGTCGAAGCACAGCCCGTCCTGCACGAGCCTGATGAGGGCGTGCTGCTCGATGTTCTTCGCAAAGGGCAGCGTGTCGGGGTCGCGGATCCAGCATCGCGAGAGTTGCAGGGCGGCATTACCGAATCCGGCCTCCTGAAGATATCGCCATACTGCACCTAGACGTCAGTCATGCAGGCCAACAGAGGCGTGGGCTGGGGACGTGTACCGAGATAGTTCATCGCGTTGCTGCTGAGAGTCTCCGCCATGGCGCATCCTGTACGCGCTGCATGCGCCGGGGAGCAGAGTGCGTAGGGTCGGGGATAGGCGGGGCGTGCTGGGTGCGCGATTCGTGGTGGTGGTCGTCGTCGAGCTGGTAGGAGGATCGAAGGCTACCTGCAACTACTCAGCACTCTGGCGGCCGCTAGTCCCCACAGGATCTCCGTCCGAGCGTCGTTCGTGATCCCTGCCGTCAACACATGCAGACGCTCCCACGCCTGCATGCGCAATTCACCTTCGATACATCCACCGCCCGTCTGGACCTGCCCGGGCCGATACGTGAAGGACGCCCGACTGCCTCACCTCCCGCCTCCAGACGCCGCATTCTCCCCACCATGGCGCGCATCAACCTGCCCCCGCTCACTCGGGGCGTGCTGGCGGCCGTCGTATTCTTTACGCTGGTAAATTTCGCACTGCGACCCAACGCCAACCTGGTAGAAAAGATCGAGAAGCCAATCATCGGCGTGGGAAACGGCGTCCCGTGGCTGACCATCGTCCCCCGCTATTCGGTGCCGTGGTATCCTTGGGTCTTCGCGCTGGCGACGGTGGTGGAGCAGAACCTCCTCGGCCTCATCACCACCGGACTCACCGTCTTCTATGGCGGACGCTACCTGGAAAGAGCGTGGGGGTCTCACGAGTTCACCAAGTTCATGCTCTTCGTGGCCATGATACCCAACATGCTCGCCTATCTGCTCTACATCGTCGGCTACCTGGTCATGGGCAAGACCTCTCTGATGTGCGTACTCGGCCTTCGTCCCATGCACTGTACTGACCAAGCATAGGCGCACGACCATCTCTGGCGGCATTGCCATCCAAGCCGGCTTTCTCGTCTCCTTCAAGCAGCTCGTCCCCGAACACACCGTTGCCATCGCAAAGGGCCTCATCCGCATGCGCGTCAAGCACTTCCCTGCCATCTTCCTCCTCACCAACACAATTTCCGGCATCATACTGGGTACTGAGACGGCCATGTTCCTGGCATACTTCGGCTTCTTCACTGCCTGGATCTACCTTCGCTTCTACCGCATTAGCCCATCACTGTCGTCTACCGCAACTGGCGACGGCTCTGTCATCCGCGGTGACGCCTCAGACACTTTCTCGTTTGCCCACTTCTTCCCAGAGCCCATACAAACCCCCGTTGGCGCCCTCTCCGACGGCATCTACAACACACTCGTGTCGCTCAAAGTGTGCATACCCTTCTCAGATCAGGATATTGATGCAGGCAACGAACAGGCGAGCGCCCGGGCTGAAGGCGGTTTACCCAGCATCATGAACCCCAACAGCAGGGGCGGTCGAGGAGGAGCCACACGTGCTGAGGCGGAGAGGAGACGTGCTCTCGCTCTAGAGGCTCTGAACCAGCGCCTGAACGCAGCAGCGTCTCGGGGTCCAAGTGCCGCTGCTCCGTCAGCGCCTTCTATCTCTGGACCTACCGAGTCACTGGGCGAGACAAACTATGAGCCGGACCGACCAGAACCACCCGAGAGATCAGCGGCGTAGTACTCTCGCTCTCAGGGATATCTTAGATCGCTTTGATTACCCGTTCTCGTTCATATACCCGTCCCCCACTGCATCGAGTGTCTACACAATCTCCATGGCTTGGGCATGGTACATTGCGGCGGCGTCTTGTTAGCGTTACAGCGCTTTGTTTGGTCGTGTTATTGGAGCGCATATGATACCACCACTCGGGAGGGACTTGTCAGTATTCTTGTACCCAATTATTGTCTACTATCAGAATAGAGTAAGTCGACTGTTTACAAGTCCATCGTTTCATCCGCCGGCTGTTGCACCTTGCGAAAGACGTTGCCGCGACGCAGCGGGCCAGTGCCAGAAACGGGATCTCGCCAACAATGCGCACTCAAGTGCTCAACTGTACTCGACTCGAATCAGCACTGCCGTTGCGTTTCAGTCGACATGCATCTCTCATGCGCACATAATCGAGCGCCTCCCAGTCACCACCCGCACTTTTGAAGACTACGTTTCCGCAGAAGTCCTCGAAGGGATGCACGCAGCCTACGTGCAGCCTGGTCGCGTACTGCAGGTGATCAGTGCAACCGGGCATTTTGTTACACAACTCTACCCGCCGAGTCTCACGGAGCCGGTAGAGAGCAAGTGTCGTGACAGTTGATACACAGAAAAAGAAATTGCCGTCTCATATTGCTTTGGGAAGAAAGATGCTCTCACCTCCACGAGACGTACAACTCACGAGAAGTACAAGTAGACCGGAAATCTCTATAGTTTCTGTAGACAACGCGCGTCCTATTCAAATTTCAGTCCTA